CACGTGCTTTCACCCTAATAACTTCTGTTCTGTGCCTTCTATTTGACCTGGAATTCTGGTACTCTCATTTCCTATCAGAAGGGCCAACCTTTAGCTGGTCCTTCAGTGTGGCCTGATACAGTGAATTTGACCTTGAGACTGAGAGGTAGTTTTGCATAGTGGTTAAAGCAAGGCTTTGATGTCTGACTGCCAGGATTTGATTTTCAGCTGTACTGTCCAATGGCCTCATAACCTTCAGTAAGTTATTTACCTCCCTGACTTTGAGTTTTCTCTCATTGGAGGGCTATTGTGAGATTTCTATAACATTAATATAATAACTTTAAAGTATGTAACGTGAACCTACCATACTAAGTAGATCCTCGGTAAATGTCAGTTCTATGCATGCCCCTAGCACTCATGGTGACTATAGGCCTCCTGTCTACACAATCCATTTGCTATTAACCTATCTACCATGCACAGCCATTTCACCTACTGGCCCAGGCTGACTTCCTAGTCTACATCCTCCTGGTCTATTTCATTGCACAAATGCTTCTGTCAACAGAGATTCTCCTTCACCCTGCGATATAACCTCACAAGAACTTCATAATATTGCTCACAAATTCTTGCTGACAATACTCTAATTGGAAACCTATCATCTTATGCCTCCTAAATGATAATCCTAATCTATGCCTGCCACTCCCCTCTGCCCATTTCCAACAACCCAATGAATTTGCATAAACAATAGTCCTGTGTTAATCACTTCAGCTCCCTGTTCAAATTTTCACTGGCTCTACAATGGCCAAAGTAGGGGGTCTCCAATTTCATCATCACTAGATGGGCAGGGCTTTTGGAAACAAAATCTCTGGGCTGGAAATAAGACACAGGGATATTTGCTAGAAGTACATAGATATGAATAAATGGTGGCTTCCCATTCAATAGTATTCTGGAAACAATCCTCCTTTTAATAAAGTTTAAATATGAGGGCATTATTTCATAACTGGGCTATACCTTGCTTGGGAGAAAGGTCCCACTTTTGGGATATGCATAGTCTTGGCATCTGAGATGCTTCCATGTGCAAACTCCAGATCATTGTGCAGAGGGCTGTCCCAAAAAAGAAGGAATTATTCCCAATAATAGACACATTGTTTTTGATTGGCAGCATTATTTTTTGGGGAGAACCACACCTCTATGTAATCTTGACAGAACTGCCTATCATAGTGCCCAACCAGCCTTCTCCTCCTCATCCCAGCACCAGAACCACATATACACAGGGTTGGGCACACGATTTAGTCCAATGCAATCAGAGTAGCACTCTCTGCTAGACGCAGAGACCAATTCAATTACCACTGATCAGGGCCAGTCAGAGACCTTCAAGGAGATTTATAAAAATGGGACCTGGAAGAGAAAGGACCTCTTTTTCTCATAGATGAAAAGCCCAGGAATGTGGGTTTAGAACTACCCACAGTCATCTTTCTCCATACTCAGAAAAAGAGTGCCTCAGACTATAGCTGACCCAGAGAGAAGCAAGGACTTTCTGGTCACATGAGCCAATAAGTCCTTTCTTGCTTTACCTAGTTAAATATTCACACATGCAAGCAAATGAATCCTGAGTAACTCCCTTCTACATGAACACAGAGTGGGGTAGTGAACAGAGTGGTGTGGTAAGCGGGGACTTGTCCCCCCTTGGTGTACTTCATGCTCAGGGCAGAGTGATTAGGGCTCTATAGGAAGGAATGTACAGATGCTCATCTTACAGCTTGCTAGATTTCTATGCCTTCTGTGTAATTTCACCTCTGGTGACAAAGTTTCCAAAGCACAACTTGCAGAACACACCCGATCAGTTAGTGATACAGTGGCCCCAGAATCCTCGCCTTTATATGAAATACATAGATTTCCTTTTTCCAGCATCACTAAAAGCTCTTGGAAGAGTCCTATCAATTACTCTGTGGTAGTCAAACCCCCAGAATTCCTGCTGGAGAAGAGGGGACCTTAGGGGAGGAGCGGGCACAGAACAAGAGCAGTCAGATTAAACATCAATAATCAGAATTCAAGGCATTTCAGGAAGTCCTGAGCTCATAATTGGAGACTTCTGTGTTCCAGAATGTAACCTAAATTCTTACTCAGAAATTCAACTTCACTTAAAATCTGACCCTAACCTTACGTCTCTCCCCTGTGTACTCAGGGTTTCCAAAGTGAGCTTTAGCTTCTCCTATCTCTACAAATCCTGCAGAAAGGCAGTGGCGCATCCTGGTGCAGATGTGCTTTGCAGTAGTAGTCCCGGCTTCATCACCTTTCTGCTCTAATTACTTCTGAGGGTTGTCATGAAAATCAATCGCCATCATTTGTGAAAATTCATGGAAAACCACCCAGTACTAACTGAAAGTTGGTATTTTTATTATTTTATTATGTATTTTCAATTCACATAATCAATGTTAGGCCAGATGTCCCAGACCAGACATCTTTTACTTCTCTTTGCCATTTCCCATTCAATACAACTAGCAAGACCCTCCGGCCTGGCTTCCTTTGACCAAAACCGTACAAACCACCCTCCTACACACACACACTGATTTCTGTCTCTCTTTAATTCTGCCAGAATTTGCCTTGCGGCATTTTTAAAAGAGAACATAAAGATCGCCAGTCCAAAGCCCTCATTCTGCAGATAAGGGCACCAAGAACCAAAAAGGTAGAGGAACTCACCCACGTATCCACAGCCACCTAATCAGTGATTCAGTCAAGATGACAACTCCCCATCCAGGTCCCTTTGCAACACACTATACTGCTTCCCAGTCTGCACTGGTCCCCTGCTGCTCTCAGACCACCTCAGCTGCCAAGTGATCTGTGGTATATTTATCAGTCCCCTCTCCATCAGCCTATAAGCCCATAGAAAAGGCCTGGAGGGGTAGCTAGGATGACACCACAACAAGCACTCACTGATGTTTTCTGAGGTTTTGAGCACATATCAGATCTCAGCAGACAAAACATAGTGTAAGTCCAGGAACAAGTGGATCTGCTTGATAAAACCGTAAATCAGATATACATTCCTTAAGAACATGAGGTCCATCTCATTGCAGGTTTAGTTTTCTGTCACTACACAAGTTATTTTTCCTCTTTTAAATTCTACCCTCTATTTGATAAGTAATGTGTATGACTACAAGGGCTTATTTTTTATCCTCTACTAATTTTGCTTAAGAAATGTAAAAGGTGACATTTGCTTTTATCTTTGTTCTTATCTATCTTTCTAAGCTAAATATGAATTTCTTTCCTTTATGCTAAGAGTCATCATGAGAAGTAGAGTATTTAACCAATCAGTTCAGATCTGCTCCCTCTATATGTCAGTAGTTATCCTTTTCTGTCCAATGAGCTATTGTCAAAATTCTGAAGCTACACAAGTCCAAATATAGCAATCTAACTCTTGGAGTATTCAAAAGCTTCACAAAAAATTCCACTAAGTTAAAATAACAAGTACAGCCATCCCTCTTTACAATAATCTTTCCTGAAGAATCCCTTCTGATTATGCGTGTCTTTAGACACTATACACATTGACCTAGACCTGCCTCAAAGGCAACAGGTGAATCCTTTCTATGCTAACTGGCTGGAAATTACATACAGGGACTTCCCACACAACTCTACTGAAGGCTTTCCCAGCCTAGAGACAAAGCTAATTATAACCAGGGTTACAAATTATAGCTAAAGTATCTCATAATTATGAGCTATCTAGTAGGACTTGATTAAAAATCATTCTCAGTGTGTATGTTTTACAGTTAAAAAATCATAATGTTAAATTGTCAAAGCATTTAACTACAGTTTCCAGTTAATGGAAGCATTATTTTCTGTTTAGAAGGACTTCTATTCTTCACTTGAGGTGTTTAAAAAGAATGAAACTACAACCACATGCTTCTGTGTAGGTAAACAGTGGGAAAATAAAGTAAGGTTTTAAAAGTTTCACAATTAAGTCTACTTTTCACAAAATGATAATGTTTTCTAGTATCAGTAGCCAAATAACAAACCGAAGGTCTTTTTGTAAGTGTTTCCATGATTCAAGAAATGACAAAGTAAATAGCTTTCACAACCTCTGGTAATATTTATGCATACAGCCCTATAGAAAGTGTGCCTCTGAACTTGGGTTGATTGCAAAACCAAGAATTCAATATTCTTTCTCACAAACAAGAATAATTATCAATTCTTGAAATGTTTTCTATGCAGTTGTCCATAACTACTTCTGAAGGTATTCAGAAGAGACAAGGCAAGAGACACTTTAGTCCAACATATTTAGTTTTTAAATACACCAGACTAAGGTGGACGGGGGCTGATTACAATTAGTCAATTACATGTATATGCTGCCTTTCTCTCTGACATTACCAATGCCTGATACTGAACAATGAATTGTTACATTAAAAAAAACACACACACACACACAAACACACGCACACATTTCTCTAAATCAAACCAGTAAATACAGAGAGCTTGCGCCTACACAACATGAAGTGTTGGCTTGAACAATTTATAGCAAAAGAATGGTTAATGAAGCAAATCTTAGAAGCCTTCAGTCCTTTCTCTTACAGACAAGACTACAGGGAGAAGAGTAGTGCTGAATTTTGCAAATAATTGCTTTGCCTCTCCATTTTGCCCGTATAGATTCTGCCGCATCCAAATACTGCTTTAGGAAACCCTGACCATACTTTGCTCAATCACAAATTAACGCTGTGGACATTACAGAGAATGCTGACTCTCAGGAACCGAGACAAAGGAGGGTGTTGCTTGGAGAAACCCAGCCAGGCCCTCCAGTACTCCGGGTTCTTAGAGGCTGCCCCGCACAGCTTCTCTCGCGCTCCGGGCACTGGGGAGTCCCGACCCGGTGGCGGACTTGGTTTGTTTCCCAAACTTTAGGAGAGACAGCGTTTACCTAACTCTGGAGGCTGCAGCGGAGAGGAGGGCGGGGGGCTGAAGAAGTGCCCGGTTTCAGCTGCGGTGGCCGCCCACCCACCTCCCCACTTGCGGCAGCACCCTTTCCTTCCCCTCACCTGTCCTGAGCACCGGGCCCTGGGGGTCGGGTCGCCTCTCCCGGTTCGCAGTCCTGGTCTCACTCCAGGAGCTGTCGGGACGTCGGGCGCCTCTGGAGGCGGACGAAGAAGGCGGCGGGGTCGGGGGCGTCAGCGGGAATCTCGGCCGCCGTGGGCAGCCGCGGTCTCCCTCCCCATCCCAGGGCTCGGGCGGCCACCGCGGACGGATGAGTCAGGCGAGGGGGCGGGCGGCAAGGGGTGCAAGCGGGCGGAGGGTGGGGGCGCCCCTATGCCCGCGCTGGGGGGGCACCGGCGGCCTCCGGGCATGGGACGCGCTGCTGCCGGTGCTCACAGAGGGCCTCCGCCATCCGGGCGCAGAGTGCAGGCGCGCCTGCCCTCGGAGGGCACCAGGCGCAGCGAGCCGGGCAGGGGAGAGGGAGTCGCCGCTCAGGCGGCGCCGCCACCGTGTCCAAGAAAGACAAAAGAGACCGGGGATGGGAAGGGAAAAGTTTTCTGCTGGGCTCCAGATGGATCCCAGACCCAAACCTCACACCACAAAGCCCCGAAGAGGCGGGTTGGGGGCGGGGGCCGGGGCGGGCTTCCAGGGGCGTCGCTGTGCGCCTGCGACCCCGTACGGTGCCAATCTTGCCGCCGCCCCAAAACCTGTGGGAAACCCCAGTCCTGCCACCCTCTCCTGGAGGACGCAGACAGGATCCGCTCCTCCCTCTGCAGGAGCCCAGGCCCGCTGATCCGCGCCCCGGCCACAAAGTTGCACTTCGAGAGCCCGAATCACCCGTAGACAAAACCCATCTTTGGGAACAAAGTACCCGCTTCCAGGCGCTCTTCCCGGGCTGTAAGGCCGGCGTGCGGAAACGGACACACCCACCCGCGGGGCCTGCCTCTCGCTACCGCGGGACCACGGGTTCCAGAGCCGGGGACCCGGCTCCCCCAGTTCTCCGGAGCGGCTGGGGAGCTCCAGCCGACTCGGGGTGTTCCCGGAGCAGGCGCCGCAGGACCCTGGCTCCACGCCCCTCGAACGCTTTCTGCTCAGATGCAGCCCGGCGGGCCGGGGTCCCCCTGGCGGGCTGCGCGGGCGCTGCGCGAGCAAAGTCAAACCTGGCCGGAACAGACGCGGCCGAGGCCCGCTCCGTCCACGTGTCCCGCCGGCCCAGAAAGGGACTCCGGAGAACGGCTTGGGGGGCGAGAACCATGGGCGGGGGGATGGAACACAGGGGGAACTGAAGCACGGAGGGCTTCGATGAGCAGTGCAGATGTTCAACTCCAAACATCAAAGCCAGAGGAGGTTCAGGTTACTCCTCCCTGACCCCAAACATCCAGTGAGTGGAGACTGTGTCCTGTTCATAGAGTGAAATGTGTCGTCTCTAATTCGGCAGAGACAGTGTTGACTGTATATATGCAGGCCAATTCTGTAAGTAAAGTTTCATGTAAAACTAATTACCGGATATTCCAACAACCCACCAGGCCTGTGTAGAGAAGGCCAGCCGCATGTGCAGGGGATGTGCTTTGCTTGTGTCCCCTGGATGTGTTTTAAGTGACAGAAGGCAAGTATGATATTCTGGTGCAGTGTATTTGTTTATTTCAGCGTGTGATCTGTTTATCTCATTTTCAGGAAAAGTTTGCTTCTGGGGGGTATAAAATGTATGTTTGGGGGGTGGGGGAGATCCATGCAAATATTTCCACGTTAGAAAAATATCTTTAAAATCAGATATGGCAATGAGAAGAGACTGTAGAAATGGATTTCCCGTGGTATTACCTTCTTGCCTTGACTAGAAGAATTTAGAGATAGGGCTCTTTTAGTGGAAATGTCACAATCAAAATGTTTTATAAAAAGAAAGAAAAGAAAACTAAAGGAGTTGGGGTGGGGGAAGGATGAGTCACCTTTATAAACCATCTGTAGTTTTATTTTTACCCCACCTGCATCTTGTATTCTAGCCCACAGCCACTTGCTCAGTTCGCTTAGGTTTTCTAAAATGCGTTTGTCAAGCACCATATCAAAGGAGTGTGCTTCCATTGGGCCTTCCTCCTAGTTGCCTCTACATTTTATAAAGAAATACACTGAAGCTACATTGTCTATAAAGCTCCTGAGAGGGAACACCCTCCTGGTTCCCCTCACTAGCTAAGGAGTGAGTAATAGGAATAGGCTCATAGCCCATAGATCATTTGAGATGACATCCTCTCTAAGACCCATGGTGAAACGTTTAAAATGGTCACCTAGCCATTTTAAGCATTGAGTGACTGAGCCGTCCTCAAAAAGAGACTGATGAGAACCATGAAAAAAGGAATAAGCACATTCTTAGGACCACAGATATTGATGCCTCCTCATTTATGAACTATGAACTCAGATTTTAGTGATTTACCAAAAAAGAAGAAAGATGGACTAAGTGAGATCACCAAAAGGGAATTATTTAGATTTGTTTTTAAAATAATTACTGTTAGTCTCACAAAAGACAGGTAAAATGGCCTGTAAATAGAGGATTATTTGCAATTCAGTACTCCGAGCAACTCTCAACATATTAGTTATAAATTTTCCCTGACATTGAGTGCTCAAGGGAATCTCAGGTAAATTATTTATCTTTACTAATGGTCAATATCTTTCCATGTGAAAGTGAATATACCATGCCGGTAATGGATTTTTAATTTAGCTGCACATCTGCTTTGGAAATAATGGATAGAAGTCAACTATTTTCTACTTCTCGCCATCAAGTAGCACTGCACTTCACACATAATATTTTTTGCTGTGTCTATATGAGATGTGTAAATTTCCACTAGAACAAGCCAACCTTATAAGAGTGCATAGTAGAAAGAGAGTAATCCACCTGTCCTGGAATCCAAGCTCAACCACCTACTAACAGAGGGACTTTGTACCTCATTTCTCCCATCCCTTTAGTAGGAACAAAGTATCTGTTTCAAAATGTTGTGAAAATTGAATGAAATGATGTGTATAATATTCTTCTTACACATCACATAGATCCTCAGTACATATGTAATTGAACATATATACACTCACATCAAACTTATTTTAATGCAATTAACATCATAAAAAAAGACTCTTCCTCTGGAATCAAGAATTAACTTGAAAAAAATGTCAAAATATGAAGATCAACATTTTCATTCTTGGTATACTATTATGAAAGTCTAATGGATGGCAATTAATATATAATGAATTAATTTTGGAAACATATATTGAAATGAAAAAGAATGAGTATTCTTAAGAGGTCACGTAACAAGGCTAACGGAAGGGCTATTAGAAAATTTGCGTGGGATTATACTCATTTTCTCTTGCCGTAAATGTAGCCTATAGCATTTTTAGACCTGAGAAGGGGTCCTTAAACAGAAAATAAAAATGTCTTCAGTGGGAAAAAATAGAATTGCTTGCTAGATTTTTATCTGAATGGCTTTGTTCTTGATGTGAAATAGATTGATAGTCTTAAAACCCCTGTAGTATTTATGCTGGCAGTGATAGTCGCTTTTTCAAAGTAGAGGGTAAAGTCAATAAAGAAAATGAACTTTCTGACTTTATTCTTGAAATAAGGAAATAGGGGGAGGAATATAGGATAAAGAAAAAGATAGAGGAAATATATTTAACAATAAAATTTTAAGGTCATTTTTATTTCACTGATTTTGAATAGCACTTTGTCATACTTTTATTTCTGCTTTCTCGTTATGTACAATTGACAAATAGTTCAGTGTATTTCACAGCAGAAAGATGTTGTTAATTTCTCTTCTGTTCATTAAATGTGCAAGTAACAGTGCTAACCCCTCTCAAATTGATGTTTTATAGTGTTGAGGCTGGTACGACTACTTAAATATTTATAAATTCTGTATTAGATACAGAATCATCTATATTAGATAATTAGATACCTCCTTGTTAGATAATAAACCTGATTAGATTCTTTTTGCCTGAGGGGCACTGGCAGCGTACCATTTAGAAATGTGAGATGAGCCACACTCTCTCCCTTCCAAAGCCCAGTTCTTTCCTCTGAACAGATTTGTGCCTATTGAAGGGAATAATCTCCAAGTAGCTTACAGAAATTCAAAAATCACTTTTAAAGATTTTGACTGTGTTTGTTGCAAGAGTCTACCCACAGAAGATAATAGAGATTTGACTGAAATGAGAGAAGATGGTAGTGGTGGACCACCTGTTCCACTGTCCATGGTACTGAACCAGTCATTCTTTCATTGGTGCTTGACTACTCAAAAGCATAGTCCGAGACTCAGCAATATTTGCATCACGGGGAAACTGTTAGAATAGCAAGATCTCAGGCGCTTGCCCAAACCTATTAAATCATACTCTGCAACTCAACAACATACTCAAGTGATCCGTCTGCATGTTAATATTTGAAAAGCACTGCACAAGGGCACAGTTCACATGTCCTCTGACTTCCCTGGTGCTCTGCTTATATCAGCCTTCACTTCACTGCCTTCCAGAAGTGTAGCCCAAATGCTGCCTTTTTAGCTGTATTTCATTTGGTGATGGCGGTATGGTGTTACACAGAGAGCATAGCCTTTGACTCGAACAGCTGGGTTAAAATATTAACTTTTACTGATTATTCTGGGTTTCATTGCCCTCATCCATAAAGTGCCAATAATTTTAATATGTCCATATAACACTGATTTAAGTGTTCACTGATTATAAAATTATAATTGTAAAACATTTAGCTCGGCATGTAGCAGATGTTCAACAAATCTCTCAGGCACCGTGTGAGTGATTCAGCCCAAGAAAGGGTGCCTCTCAGCATAACATTCTCAGGCATGGTGAAAATTTATTGTAAAATAATGTAATTCTCCAATTTCTGCTCAATCAAAACAGTACAATCTCATTAAATTAGTTGACAAAATAAAAATTTAAAATTCACTAAATCATCTTTCTGTTTGGGATTTCTCCATCCATAACCATGATCTAGAGTAAAGAAAAATAAAGTTTTTCTTGACAATTACATTAGATCTGCTTTTATTAAATTAGAACAAAACTACTTGGCATCTTGAATTCTAAAATGTTTATAAATATCTACATTTCTTAATCCTACAACCAACAGAAATCTGTACACATATACAGCTGAGTTTGTAAACAGTGATCATTTAGACCTGAATTAAGCCACAATGTTAGTAAAATAGAATGCAGTTTAAATCATGCTATTTAGGGGCTCGGGGAATAACCTTTCACACATTTCTTTTGGAACATGAGAAAATGTTGGCACATTCATTTTTCAAAAGAAACTTCAAACCTGATAATCTGTTCTATTACAATAGTCATTTAATGAGTTTTGGCACTAGGGATTATTACTCATTGTGTCAATGCTGATCTAGAAACACCTGTTTATATAAGGAAATAAGCTGTAACGAACTTGAGCATGTTAGATCTTCTCCTAGACATTACATTTATTCTTTGTCATTAGATACCATTCTTTGCCACTCCTTCAATTTTTAGTTTATGAACACAAGTGGCCAGCTCAAGATCACATAACCACAGAATGATAGGGCCGTGACTGGAACCTGCATCTTCCTATTCCTAGTTCAGTGCTTATTTAACACTCATAAAACATGACTCATGTTGAAGTGCTTTATGGGTCCCAAGAGATTGAAGGACTTAGCATATCCCTGGAAGCTATGCATTTTCCAGCCTTACCACACCTTCACACCTAAGGAAACAGCCTTGTGATAAAATATGAATAGAGCTTCAGTTTTAGATTGTTCTTTTATTAATTCAGAAAGCATTCGCATAATGTATTGGGCATTATATTTAGTTAGGGCTGTACAGAAATGAGCAAATGAGAGCCCTTTTCTGCATATTTATT